CAAACTGACCCCAGCCTTCCACATATGCTGGAAAAGGGAAAGGCTACCCACACTCCACTATTCTGACCTGGAGAAGTCCAATGACTATATATTCCATGGGATTGCAAAGAGTCAGACACGACTGAGCGACTTTCACTATCACTTTCCACATATGCTGTGGTCAGTGGCATATATTCTGAAAGACTGTACCGGGATCCTGGATTAACATATCTCAAACTAAACTCCGTGACCTGAATCACTTTTCACAATCAATCAGTCAGTGGTTGATTCTGACTTCATTTGTTGCTGCCATCTTTGAAAACATGAGAAAAGTATTGCCTTGAAAATTACAGGCCAAAGCCTATCTATTCTACAGAGAACACTTGATATTCTGGAAAGAGAAGAGATTTTTAAGACTTCCCCAAATTCACACTTCCATATAATTGCCTCCAAAACATGATATAAGGTATACTTGGGGGGAAAACCCCCCAAAACCCCTAAGATATCCTACTGGTCACATAAATCCAGGACAATGGTGCTTTATAGAGCTATTAAATATGTCAACTTTTATCTGACCTTTTCCTTCTCCTTGGATGAGTGGTTTTTACTACGAATGAAAATGATGGACACAGACAGCCGTTCCTCTCCGCCGCAGAGCACACGGCCTTCTGACCACAGGAGGGCATCTCACAGGGTGGGCACAAGACCGCCTCATCCGGCCTCCACTCTCACCCCTGTGGGTCTGTGTCGCTGAAACCAACTTTCCTGATGGCACATCATTTTCTCTTCACCTCCATCACCCCCACTGGCAAGTGATTTTCCTAACAGATACCTCCAAGGGTGTCCCAGCAAAATTACAAATTAAAATCTGCTACAGATTTTCAGGTTTGCTTGCAAACACCTGCAATCCTGACTAAAATTCATAAACACCAGACACCACTCAGCTATCCCTGCTTGTCATCCCCTTTCCAGCTACCTCAACTCAGGTCACGCTGTCTCACGTTAGGAGTGTGGCTAAACATCCCTGGGGCTTCTGTCTCCGGCTAGGTTTGATGTGCCGATAGTTTTGATGCTGCTAGGAGGAACTTTCTAAACACAAAGGGGACACTGATAATAACTTGAACATTTGGGTCATAATAACTTCACTTACATTATTTTCACTTTTGATAATAACCAAGTCAGACAGGACTTATCTATTCCTATTTCAAGGAAACTAAATTCAGAGAAATTAAGAAATTCGCCAAGGGCAGAGGGTTAGCAAAGCCAGGGTGGGGGGGAATTCTATCCTTGGTCTCTGTGGCTCCAGAGCCGGTGCCCTCCCCATCACAGCCAGCAGACTCCCAGGCCTTCCTGTCATGCCCCAGACACTGCTCTCAGCTCCAGACACAAATAACTCAACACCCTTCTTGCAGCATCCATATCTCAGAGATGACTACTGCCTCGTCCGAAATGATTTTTCTCAGCCCTTTTCTTTGCCTGGTTCACACTGACATTTAAATCAAGTGAGTTTTTTTGTCATTACCAACACCCCTCCATCCTCCTCACTCACACCACCCTCCCCTCCCCACACACACTCCTGACCCGACACAACTAATCACAGAACAGCCCGAGCAAACCTCTGCACACCATCCATCAGTCTTCTAACCTGCTGTATCCTCAAGTGTGGGATGGGTATATGGACACAATATCAAATAATAGTGAATCACAAAGTGAGAAACTTACTCCCTCTCCAATGCTTTTCCAGTCTCTGACTACAAGGAGGAAGTTCCAACACAGATAGTTATCAGGCGGTGGTGAAGAGCGTGGACTCTGGAGCCAGCCTGCCTGGGTTCAGTCCCTGCTGTGCTACCTAGGAGCCAGCTGGCTTCACTGTGTTTCTTCACCTGTACTATACAGATCAGAGCTCAAATGGGGTCGTTCCAAGGACTAAGACAGTTAATACCACACTACCTGCTCAGGGTAGGTGCTCAGGAGCGGACAATTATCATAGTTCTCCTTGCTTGCCTGCTAAGTCGCTTCAGTCGTGTCTGACGCTTTGCGACCCTATGGACTGTAGCCCACCAGGCTCCTCCATCCATGGGATTCTCCAGGTAAGAATACTGGAGTGGGTTGCCATGCCCTCCTCCAGGGGACCTTCCCGACCCAGGGATCAAACCTGTGTCTCTTCTGTCTCCTGCACTGGCAGGCGGCTTCTTTACCACTAGCACCACTTGGGAAGCCTAACAGTTCTCTTTCGCTCCTTTAACTACTGCTCTTTGCTCTTGAATAGAGCAAGCCTCAGGCCCAGGATCTTTAGTAGACAACAGAATCTAAGCAGCTAGTGATACTGATGTTCCTTTTATAACAGGATACAGAGACATGGGCTTCCCAGGTGGCACTAGTGGTAAAGAACCTGCCTGCCAGTCCAAGAGACATAAGAGGCATGGGTTCAATCCCTGGGTCAGGAAGATCCCCTGGAGAAGGGCATGGCAACCCATTCTAGTATTCTTTCCTGGAGATTCCCATGGACAGAGGAGCCTAGCAGGCTACAGTCCATGGGGTCGCAAAGAGTTGGACATGACTGAAGCGACTTAGCATGCAAGCATTCACACAAAAAGAGGTATGGGAAGCCCCGGTGGCTCAGCAATAAAGAATCCGCCTGCAGTGGAGGAAATGTGGTTCAACCACTGGGTGGGGAAGATCCCCTGGAGAAGGAAATGGCAACCCACTCCAGTATTCTTGACTGGGAAATCCCATGGACAGAGGAGCCTGGTGGGCTACAGCCCATGGGATCACAAGAGTCAAACATGACTTAGTAACTAAACAACAATAATAGATAAATAAATTTAACAACTGAGTCCACTTAAACATTAGGTAACTACCTCAATATGGCCAAAAAAAAAAAAAAAACCCAAACAAATAATAAAAGCAGTGTTGGAACATTAAAGAAGTATATGCAAGTGTTCTCACATACACACAAAAAAGATAACTCTATGAGGTGATAGCTGTTAGTTAACTTGATTGTAGTAATAATGTCACAATTATACATTAATCAAATAATTACACTGTATACTCTAAATATGTAGGCTTCCCTGGTGGCTCAGTGGCAAAGAATCTGCTTGCCAAGCAGAAGATGCAGGTTCAGTCCCTCTGTCAGGAAGATCCTCTGGAGGAGGGAATGGCTACCCACTCCAGTACTCTTGCCTGGGAAATCCCATGACCGAGGAGCCTGGTGGGCTACAGTCCATGGGGTTGCAAAGAGTCAGACACGACTCAGTGACTCCGTAACAACCCTCCTCTGCTCTGCTGCTCAGCCACTCAGGCATGTCCGGCTCTTCGTGACCTCATGGGCTGTAGCCCACCGGGCTGCTCTATCCAAAGGATTTCCCAGGCAAGAATACTGGAATGGGTAGCCATTCCCTACTCCATGGGATCTTCCCAACCCAGGGATGGAACCCAGGTCTCCCACATTGCAGGTAGATTCTTTACCATCTGAGCCACCACTTAGCTCCAAAACTCCTCTAAATAGATGGAATTGTATTTGTCAATTATAAGTCAATAAAGCTGAGGGAAACAAGCCATGGAAGTATTTGATGATTTCCTTACTTGTCTCCCCCACTAAACTGTGAGCTCCTCGGGGACAGAGACTGTCTTCATTACTGTAGCTCCAAAACCCCAATACACATTGCAAGCCCATAGTATACATTTGCTGAATGAATGAGTTACAGAGACATAGATAGCCTGGTCCAGTGGTTCTCAAAGAATGATTCTTGAGTCAGTAGCCTCAGTTATTACCTGGGAACTTAGAAATGCAAATTTTCAGACACCACCCCAGATCTACTGAATCAGAAACTCTTGCCGGTGGGGGTCCTAGCAAACTGGTGTTACAGGAGATTCTTACAGTCTTACAGGCACTCTTAGGTCTGATCATCACTGATCTGTAGGACAAAGATAACAGAGCAGGGCTGGAAGACAGCCAAGAGAATCCAGAGACCAAAAGCCGAGATGAGAGAAAGCTGCTCGCGCGACAGACAGCACTCTGTATCAGGACAGGCCGGCAGGCTGAGTGCTGCCATGAAGAGCAAAGAGTCTATCATGGAAAAGATAGTTCCTCGCAGATCTACCACGTCTGAGGCCAGGTGACCAGGCAGTCTGGGTTGGGCTTGGCTCTGCCTTTCACCAGCTGTGTGACCTTGAATGTGACCCGTTAGCTCTCAACCCGTTTCTTCACTCACAAGTGCTTTGCTGAGAGGGCCCCGCCCTTCAGGAGTGTCCCTGTATTTAGTGTGGGACTCTCCCAGGTGATTCTCTCCTTCCTTCTCTAACGCCTAACACCTCTCCCCCACCCCCAACCCCGACCCTTATTCTCCTACCTCACTGGGGAAATAGAAGCTCAATCACAAGAGAGCATCCACGGAGTTCCATCTCACATCCTACCACCTACCAACGTCTACACCCGCACACTCAGCATCCTGACTTACCAACCACGATTCTACCCAAACCGAATCCCTCCACTTATGTGCTAGAAGCAACCCCTCTCACTTATTCAAAGGTACTGCTACAGCACGTCTCCTCTCTCTCACACCAATTTTGTTTTTCCCCCTTACTGGACTTTTCCAATCACCAGAAAAGAAAGGTATTTCACCCATCTTTGCTCCCCCAACAGCAAAGTTGTCTGCAAGGGCTGTCTATGCCCGCTCCGGTCACTCTGCTCAGGCTGTCATGTCTACCATCCTTCGGGCACTGCTCCGGTCAAGGTCACTAGTGGCCTCGTGCTGAGAAATCCAGTGGTCTCAGCGCTCCCCTCACTTGACCCCCATCAGCAGCGCTTCCGAGTTCATCACGCCCTCCCTGTATACTCTCTCTCCGGGCTTCCAGGACACCAAGCTCACCTGTTTTTCCTCCTACTTTACGGGTCCCTCCTTTTAAGTCTTCTTTGTCAATTTCTCTTCTTTTCCCAGACCTCTTACTACTGAAGTAATCCAAGGACTGCCCTTCCATCACTCACTCTTGTGATTTCATCCAGTCTCAAGACATTAAACATGGATATCTTGATGCTGAAGACCCCCAAATACACACTGGCAGCCAAGACTCCAGACTCTGGCTGCCTCTTCCATGTCTCCCCTTGGATGATTAGTGGACATCTTAAATACACTCAAAATGGAATTCTTAGTTTCCAGTCAAACCGGCTCCAAACACAGCCTTCCCTGTTGAAATTCATGGCAACTCCATACTTTCTGTTGCTTGGGTCAGAAATTTTAATCATTCTTGATTTCTTTTTCTCCCATATCCCTTCTCCATTCATTCAAAGAAATCATGCTGGTTTACCTTCAAAACCTATTATCTGACCATTTCTCCCCACCCTCAGCACTGTTGCCTCACTCAACATGATTGCTTGGATTACCACAATCCTTTCCAACAGGCTTTCCTGCTTCTACACACGCCCTCATATTCCAGGCTTAACACAGCAGAGCTGGCTATAAAATGGAAGTCAGCTCATGTGATGCCTCTGCTCTGACTGCAGAGTGATTCATTTCACTCTCAGAGAAGGCCAGCGGTCTACCAGGCCAGCAGCTGCCCCCCGCGCCCCGCCCCGACCTCTCTGACCTCAGCCCCTCCTCCTCTCCGCACCCCACGCCCCCCTCCAACTCTGCCTGGCTCTACCGACCCGTGGGCTACATGCTCTTCTCGGGGAGGGCCTTTGCTCAAGCTGTTCCCTCTCTGGAAAGCTCTACCTCACAGGCCCATTTGGCCAATATTTACCTCCTTCAAGCCCTCTCAGATCTCACTGAGGCCCCACCCTGACCACCTTTCCCATCCCCCTCACCCTACCCTTTTTCTTTTCTCCACCGTGCACATTGTTTTATAGCATATAAAATGTATAATTTACTTGTGCATTATTATCCATCTCCTTCCAAAAAGTTAAAAGCTCTACAAAGGCAGAAATCTTTTTGTTTGCTGATGTATCCTAAAAACTTTACACAGTGTCGGGCATAGAGTGGGCACTCAAAAAATTTACAGAATAAGTGACTTAAGCAGGACACATTTCTTAAAGACAGTTACATATCTATTTGGTATATTATATTTAGTATATTATTATAAAAGTAGAGGCGTTCCCTGGCAGTCCAGTGGTTAGGACTCGGCACTTTCACTGCCATGGTCCTGGGTTCAATCCCTGGTCAGGGAACGAAAATCCCACAAGCCTCACAGAGCAGCCAATCAAGTAATAAAATAAACATGTGAAACCTGTAAATTCAGTGACAGGTTCTTTTATGAGTTTTAAAGAAAACATCTGGTAACCAATAGTACTTCAGAAATTATTTAAAGGTGGTTTACAAATTGAGAAACTCTGTCCTCTAAATACACACAGGCAAATTCAAATCCTCTCATGCTGGAGAGCCTTCACAACGTAAGGGTTACATACTAGAACTTTCAAATCTGACTGTGCACACAAATCATCTCAGAAGCTTGTTATATTAAAAAAAAGAAAAAGAAAAAAAAAGCCTATATCCTACTCTAAGCTCTTTAGGGTTGGGGCTGGAATTTATATTTTAAACAAATGCCTCATGTGATTCTCCTGTAACCAGCCCAGTACTGGACAAGGCTTAAGGCTCAGATAACCTCTGACGGCTGTTGTAGCTCTGAAGGTCTGACTTTGTGATTGAAACACAACTGACTAGCCTAGAAAGCAGGCCTTTTCAAACTGCAGATTTACTGGGCTAGAACCAGCATCAGGGGGAAAAAAAAATACAAATTAACAGACAAACCATAAATTGAGAATGCATTACCTGCAGTAAAGGTTATGGTTTCATGAAATATTTTCCAGAGGTGAGTATATATGTAAGTAATAAGTGGTAATATTAAAATACTTTTGTGGTAAAAAAAAAAAAACTCAAAGAGAACAATAAGTCTCAACTTTCAGTGTTGTAACAGCGTGAATTTCGGAGCCCCAGCAAGTTCAAATCTTTGAGTGGAGTTCAGGAATCTGCATTTTTCATGGCTGACTGATGCAGGTAGCCCTAGACCACACTTAACTGAGCTCTGTGAACGCAAAGCTACCTCCAGAACCCATCTCATGCGGCGCTTTTCAGTACTGGGGGAGGGGGAAGAAGAGGGTTGGAATGCCCTTGGGAGGAGCAATTTCCAGCCCTCCATGTTTATAAGGGATGATCTGGAAAAGCACAGTTAATATCACCATACTGCAGCACTGGGGAAGAACCCTACTTCGTTATTTATAACATTAAAAAAGGACACTGGATTTTTTTCCTGTCTAAAAAGTGCAGCAAGGAGAAACGTGTACTTTTGGTTCACTTCACAGAAGACTGTTACCTGTCTGGTTCAATGTCACGCTTCAGGTAGGTAAGCACTCGAGTATTTGCTGAATGAATGACGAGAGAGAAACGCTGAACTGAGAGAACAGGAAGCTGCGCCTGGTTCCTCTGCAAATTGTCATCCTCAAGGCCCACTTCTCTGAAAATAACCCCGATTCTGAGCTTGCTCAGTGCCTTTACAGTGAGTAACCACCATCCTCATCTTCTTTCCTTTCCCAGGAAAGAGAAGCCCTCAAGTCACAGAACAAAAGCTCTCCCATTGAAGCCTACCACAGGCCACAAATACACATTCAATAAACCTGTAATACTGCACATCCTGATAACAACTCCTACACTGTGCAATTTGCATTTACTACCTTTAATTCTTGAAAATAACCGTGGAAGGTAGGTGGTGACCTACTTTACACAAAACCTTAGGCCCAGAGAGGTTGGCTGACTTGCCTACGGGTTCACCCTGGCAGTCGGGGGCAGTGCTGCGGGCTGGCTGTGCCGCAGCTGAGCCGATCTTGACGGCCAGACACTGGGAGCACGTGGTGAGACACAGCCTCGAGTCTGAGGTTACAGAACACCAGCTACAAGATGCACACATCTGGTGATCTGAAGGCCTTTCTTCCTTTAATTACGACTAAGCTGTCAGTTGGGCGTTTGTCCCTATAGACCCAGTCTTTGAAAAGTAGAGACCAACTCTGTTTCTATGACTGTCAGCCCTCTTGGGGACTTGGAAAATGTAGGCCAGCATTCTGTGGGTTGGTCAACCTAATTTAAAGAAAAATTCGACACAAGCATATATCACGGGGCAGATGTGTGGTTTAACCTTATTACAACGGAAGCTACAAAAGGCTTAACCTTATTACAAGAGCTATAAAACTGTACAGAGAGGAGAGCTGGTCTCAAGGTTCTCGAGTCTTGACTGCCTTCATCTGAAGACTGGTTCTACCACTACTACTTGTGGCTTTGGGCAATTATACCCTTCTCTATGTCCTCATCATTGTAACACCTCACAGAGCTATGAAAACCAAATGAGTTAATAACACATATCAGGAAAGAATCCCAACCAGTCTCTGGGAAAGCATGCCCCTCCCCTGGTGTGTGCCTGGGCCACCACTCTGAGAATAACAACTACTGCACAGCTATTTCCGAAAATGAGAGTTGGAAAATGGTTGAAGTAGCAGCCAGTGGGACTCTTCATGGAAAATAAGCCTATACTATCTGCCAGGGACCTGAAAGGGATTTGACAGGCTTAAATTCCAAATTCTGTGCTCCGATCCACTCTGAGGTACCATGCAATGATTAAGTAGAACCAGTCTTCCCGCACCCACCATAGATGCCTTTTTTTTTTTTTTTGGCTGCACCACACAGCATGTGGGAACTCAGTCCCCTGACCAGGAATCGAGCCCATGCCCCCTGCAGCAGACCACCAGGAAGTCCCTCAATAGGTGGTTTTTTAACTACCTAACTGTTTTCAGTCATTTTGGAGTACAATAAGAAATTTGGAATTCTGAAAATAGAGATAATGTAAACTGTATTTTCTCATAGAATTACACTCTTTTTTACATATTGATACATAAGAAGTTGCACACGCTAAAAACAACATAGGAAAGCAAAACATAGAAATACTTTTAAAGCAAAAAATAGAAATACTATCTTAGGGAAATACTATTGTAAGGAAAATACTTCCAGAGGCAGTCACCATAGTATTACAGGGTTAGAAGTCATGTTAGCCAAGCAATGTGTTCAGCAGAGTAACTGGGGGAGTCTAAAATGTGGACGAGGGGGAGGGAGATGGGTTGGTAGCAATAAATTGGTAGAACTAAAAAAAATACATAAATAAGTAAAATGTCACTTCTACTTAAGTTGTTTAATATCTTTGCCTTTTAAGCTACTTTCAGATTTTTCTAACTATTGAAAATTTATCATATAACAAATCACATCAATAGTGATAAATATATAATTATGAAACAGAATCCTAAAATCATGTTACATAAGGTCCTTAATTGGTACAATCACACATCATTTTGCTCAAATTTGTAAAAAGAAACCATCTGCATTTGTTTCCTAAGCTTTCTTGCACCTGCACCTTGAACAGTCACGTTCAGTCCCCCTGGTGCCCCCAGGTGCCTTAGGCTGGATTCCCCCCTGACAACAGCAACTGCGGTTTCCATAACAAGCTGCATTTAAAGGTGTTCTGTACCCCCAGGCACCAGCCAGGTCCCCAGTGGCAGGCAGCTTAAACTGTGGGTGGTTTCTGGGCCCTGACCTCACCACTCACCTAGACAGCATGGGCCTTAACCCTTTAAGACTCAGACCCCTCTGACAGCCTATTCATTGCAGTCTTTACCCAACAGTTGGTTAGAGAGCCTCAGTGTACACGCAGAGTTTAACAGGCTGGGACTGACAAACTCCATGTGTGGTTAATTTGCACATGTGGTGGTCAAGCTGCAGGAAAAGGCAAAAGCACAACATCAAACGGGCTCTGCGATCAAGGACCAGAAAGGAGAGTGCACCGTTACTCGCCTCTGATCACAGTGCTGGCAGAAGCAGAGCACAGATTATGTGTAGTCGTTTCAGTGATGTCTGACTCTATGTGACCCTATGGGCTGCAGCCCGCCAGGCTCCTCTGTCCATGGAACTTTCCAGGCAAGAGTACTGGAGTGGGTTGCCATTTCCTTCTCCAGGGGATCTTCCCAAGCCAGGGACTGAACCCGCGTCTCTTATGTCTCCTCCATTGGCAGGTGGGTTCTTTACCACTAGCGCCCCCTGGGAAGCCCATAAATTATATAATACTATCTAACAGCTTGAAGATAAAAGAACACTCACTGGACACATGGACAAGTGCTTCTACTGGGACAGTTCTATGGAAGGAACTGACATTCCTGGCATTTGGGACTGGCTGCATAGATTAAGGTAGTAGAGCCTATACATCTAAAGGAATGGCGTATTATGAAGCCACTAGGACATGAGAACACATTATGCAAAGAGGGAGAAAAAAGCAGGAATCAAAACGATACCTACATTTTCAATCTGTATAACAATTTTGTTTCTGTTTTACCATAACCCAGGTGGAGCCTCCAATGGCAGGCTCCTCACAGGTCTGACTTGACCTACTATCCCCCTGCCCACCCTGGCTCTCTGGTTGTGGCAAGTTTCTCAACCAGACTAGGACCTCCTAGTGTTTGCACAGCAGACCCCATCATGTAGCCGAGGTCATCAGTAACCACCCTGTACCCACCCCCACAGTGCTTCACACATTTTTGTGATCATCTCAAAGTGGAGCTTCCCTGGTAGCTCAGTTGGTGAAGAATCTGCCTGTGATGCAGGAGACCTGAGTTTGATTCCTGGGTCAAGACCACCCTGGAGAAGGGAATGGCAACCCACTCACTATCCTTGCCTGGAGAAGGCTGGCAGGCTACATACAGTCCATGGGGTCACAAGAGTCCATATACTGCTCTTTTGTTTGCACTTTAACTTTTCTAATGGTGGAATGTTTGGTACCCTTTACCTACAGGTACTAGTGCCAATAGCAGCTCTAGTTAATGTGAATCAAAAGCCTACCTCCAACAAATACCCCAGGATGGGGATGGGCAACATCGACCCTGTTAAAGACCAGTTGCAGGACAACACTCAGCTGAGCCTGAATGTCCCCGGGCCTGAAAGTGGGACACAGCCAGCGGCCCGCCAGGGACACCACCTTATTCTGCAGACAGCCACATGTAGCAGTGGGGGCAGTCACCCAGCAGAGGTAAAAAGCCTTCACGGGTAGCAGCCGAGGAAATGAGAGAGCAAACACAGCAGGAACCTTGGAAGACTACATTTTATTCAAGAAACCTCCCCTCCCTCCCTCTGCCATTAGGATGTGGGGAGCGCTTCTACTCTTTGGGTCCATACACATCACCAGCAGGTCTTATTAAAAGGAATTCAGGTCTCAAGTGGGGTCTAGTAGTTTTGACCGCTCTCCAGGCAATTGCAGCAAACACCAGTGCTTCAGACCCTGTGTTTGGAAGCCGAGTTTCTAACAAGGCTTCCCAAGTGGCTCAATGGTAAAGAATCTGCCTGCCAATGCAAGAGACCTGGGTTCAACCCCTGGGGTGGGAAGATCCCCTGGACTAGCAAATGGCAACCCATTCCAGTCTTTTTGCCTGGGGAATCCCATGGACAGAGCGGAGCCCACTGGCTACAGCCTCAGACACAACTGAGCACGCACACACACGCGCCTCTAACTAGAGGGGCTGGGGTGGCACGCTTTCCCACACTGCTGCTCAAAACTGGCTAGGGATGTGTCCTCGCCTGTGCCAGCCCCCAAGGTGTTTACACTCACTCACCTAAAGCATCACTGCTAGAGCTAGAAGCAAAACCCAGCTATTCCTCAAACTCCTGAGGGCCTTTGTTCCCTCTGGGCCAGAAGCCTAGGCAGTTTTTAAATGGGAAGTGAACTCACAAGTCAGCAGGACCAAATGAAGAGTGGGCATGTACACTGTTAAACTAGGAAGTACCACAATAACTTAAAAATACAGCCACACAGCAAGTGGCTAACAGCCAAGCGCAGAGGATGGCAATACCATTAGACTTTCTACCTTTCATTTTCCTGCAATGCTTTATTTAAATGAGTACACACTCCCATCACTAGAAAATATTCTGACTTCCACAGCACCCAGTACTAGATAGCCAATATATTCACCAAGAGTTAGTTTGTTCTCAAAGATATTTATTTCAGTTGTAGTTATTAGTATAGAGATGTTAAAACAGTGAAGCCGTTTACAAGGTGGAGTCCCACAGTAAAAAGCTGAGAAATGAACGCATGCTGATGTTTTCAGCGAAACAGAGCTTATGCTAACATATTTCACGATCCTCCCCTTCAAGCATCTGGGTCTGACGGATAAGACCATCAGGAAAACAAAGAAAGCCACATTTTCATAAAAAGCTAGGTATACCAAATAATCTCCAGGTTTAAAAATACCTTACAAAGGCAGCTAATAAATTAAAGAACCATTTAACAGCAATGAAAAGGTGGCCCAGGGACAACTGAACTCATTAGTCACAAGTGATGATACTGAGTTAACTTGTGCTAGAACCACTAGCCAAGTATTATGTCCAAGAGAGAAATGGTGACTTTTGAATGTCACTGTCTCGGTGACCTGGAAAAGTACAGACAAAGGTCCCACTTTCATATCAAAGGAGGGCACTCTGGTAGCAGTAAGATTTCTCAACCACAGTAGCACAAAACTAATCGTTTTTGAGCACTATGTGCCTGGTGCAAGTTAAAGCAATCAAGAAATATTAAACCGCTTAACCCTGAAGGAGGTTAACCATCACTGCCCCCACAATACAGATGGGGACGCTGACGCAGATAAGGTGTAACAGAGCTAATAAGATGCAGGGGGGGGGGGAATCAAATCCAGCCAATGGGTCTCAAAGACCACCACCCCTTCTCTAGTTACATTCTCATCAACCCTAGATTCTCATTTTAAAGGAAAAAAACGAGTCCAGTGTTTAACCCCAAAGCACCACATCAAAGACTCTGATCCTTTCAGACATCAGTGCCGGTAAAAGCCCTAGTGGACGGCACAATCACTGAGCAGAGGGGAGCCCTGCACCCCACTTTAATCAAGGCTCTAAATTCAAACCCAGCCCCAACCACGCCGCCCCCCCTACAGTTTCCACCGGGCCACGGCACCACAGCCTGCCAACAAGGGGGCGGTGGGTACGGGCAGTGCCGCGAAGCTCTCAGCCTGGGGTCTGCCAGGAAGCACTGGCGCCCAAGGGGAAGTCAGGGTGGTTACCAGCTATTCCCATCGAAGCTTTAAGTGGCTTGAGGTCCAAGGACTTGAATAGGGCCAGGCTCCTTGCACAGAACACACAACAGTAATTGTACATTTCATTGAAAATGTTTTATTGGCCTTTTGGATAGAAACGGGAATTTATTTGCCAGGAAGGATGATCCCATCATACTGAAAGAGAAGAGATTTTATTTTTTTCAGAACAGGAGGTAACAGCAATGACTAACGTTCGAGAATTCAAATCAGATACATGAATTTTGGCTTGGAATCCCATATCCCTAAACAGCAAGCTGGCCAGTTTTAACAATCACTCCACTATGCTCAACTGCACTGGACCCTGAGAAAAAGGGGTTCCTATTAAAGTCATATTCCTCCCCTTCCAGTTACCTGCATTCACGGGGCTGGGGAGAAGCCTGGTTCTGGGTGTTCTTTTAAACCACAAACCCTGGAAGCCCATTTGCCAAGCTGCCCAAATGTTCTACCTTTAAAAGAGCTACCCGTCAAAGGGTGCTAGGCTTTGCATCCCCACATCCCAACTCCATTCACCAACACCACCTTCCGCCACTCCACCTGAGACAGGTCAAGCTTTACCTTCTGCTGGAACCAGCGCATGGCCTCCTCTTTGCTGATTCTGTGTTTGGCCCCAATGCAGCCTGTCCTGCGCTTCTTGTCTGCGATGCTGAAACCTGGCCTACCCAGCACCTGTCCCAGGAATAACCAACAGTCACCTAGCCAGCTCAGAGTCAAGAGCAGACGGACAAGACTCACACACTGGAGCGATCGATCTTCGAGAGTCACCTGGTGGCCCAGTGAATTCTGGTGCAAGAGACCCATGACTCCAAGGTCTGATGGAACCAGCATTCTGGACGACTCACCACCTCTCGATAGGTTTGCTCTGGAGGCTGGCCTCCCAGCACCTCCCCTCTCCCCACATCTAACTCCCAGTGGTGGCCAAGGAGTCACCAGACTGCTCTTATTTTAAAAAACAGCAGATGAAAAAATCTTACTTCAGCATGTACATTGTACAAATCTTAACATTTCAAGAAGCACAAAGAAATAGTTGTATTTCTCTCCTCTGCTTCAGCTCAAAAGTGCTTCTAATTAAAGGTTTGTGGTGCCTGTGAGCACCGAACTCAGTCTGTCTGGATATTCAAATCTAACAGGCAGAACGCTGCCGTCCTTCACGCTTACACTAGTCAGGACTTCAGGGTTTTGCTATTTACTTTGATTTTGGGGGACCAAAACATTACAGTGACACAAATGGTCATGTCTACATTGAAATTCCCATCCCGAGCAAACAGTTCCATCATCAAACCTGCTTCTATGCCCCCAGATGGAAGCCACCCCATTCCCGAGGTCTAAGGGAAGAAGCAGAGAAAGAGCAGCCAACCCAAACACCAAATGCAACCTCAATACCATCTCTCAAAATGTTAATTCAGTGGCTGGAATCGTTTCCTCCATCCACCTTTGAGCCACATCAGGGCTCACTAGATCCTAGACCCTAAGCACCACGACAGCAGGAAGCTTTGTCCAGCTATAATGCATAGTCAGGGCTACACCCCCACGCCTGCCACCAATGAGGTGTATCCTCCCCAGGGAGCAAAGACAGACAACACTCAAAGCCCCAGTCCAACGTGTGACCGCCAAATAGCACAGACAAAAAGAGAAGCAGCGCCCACTCCCAGACCGGAGTGGGGAAGACTGAGTGCTCATACCACGTAGAAGTCCAGGCCGTAGATACCGATGCTCGGGTCATACTTGATCCCCAGGTCGATGTGCTCTTGGATCCCAAAGCCGAAGTTTCCAGTATCTGAGAAGTTATTTTTTCTCAACTCGTACTCTCGCACCTGAGGAGAAAAATGCAGAAGTCAACTCAACACCCCAATATCTAGCTCAGCCCGCAACACTCAGCACCCCCAAACACAATGCAATACAACTTGGCCAGGAACAACATCTGATTTCCCCAACACAGGGAAAAACCCTTTACAAGTTCCCCCCACATCAGAAGACTGACTATGTGCTAGGCTGGTGCTCTCTACTATTACCCCACGAAGACACAGGCCTCACCTTTAGACCTTTCTCCAGGATTTCTTCTGCCTTGGCCCCACGGACAGTGCAGTGGACGGCAATCTTTTCATTTCTCCTGATGCCGAAGGATCTGACAGTGTATCTAGCTGCAGGTGGGGATAACAAGGAGTCAGCTGTTGTCATAGAGCCACTGCACTCTCCTCTCCCCACAACATCATCTCTAAGATTCCAAAAAAAAATTAGCATTCTATATAAATCAATATTTGCTAAAACCCTACTGTACTCTTATCCCCATTTTACAGAAGCTGTGAGAAGCTACTTTGTACAAACCAGTTGCTAATAAAGAGGCGGGCTGCGAACCCCCATATTCCATTATCCTAAAGCAACAAATCTCTAAAAACAAAAAATACAATGCCTGCATTGTGTATGCTGGGCAGCAGGCATTTCATATAACCCTGTCTACCCTCCACAATCTTATATAAAAGTATTACCATCCCCTGTATGCAAATAAGAAAAATGAGGCCCAGAGGAAGAAATCAGACTTGCAAGTGATGGAGCTGGAATCTGAAGCATGAAGCAGGTTAGTTTAGGTACGCATCCTTGTTCTTACCCTCGCCTAGATTATCCTCACTGCTAATCGAACCAAATGCCATTTTCTGCATTCCCAACATTTCCACCTGACTGCATATCCTCCTTACTTGGAAAAAATCTCTACCTGGGGCTAGTCTGAGCTTAATCTCGACTCACACAAAGCTCAGGAAAGCAATACTTTTAAGAGATGCCACTTGTCACCTTCCCACTGGGTACAAAACGGGCCTGACGTTTTTCCGGGCATCCCCCAGCCGCCAGCCCTCCCGCTGCCGGCCAGCACTCACCTTTGGAGAACACTGGGGTCTGGCCAGTGAGCTGCTCCAGCACCTTGGCCGCCCGGGTCAGCCTGTCTCCGCTCTCCCCGACGCAGATGTTGAGGCAGAGCTTGCGGATGCGAAGTTCCCGCATGGGGTTCTCCTTCTCACCTTGATCCTGCTACAAAAAGGAAAGCGGCGACGGTCAACACGCCTCAACCCCGCCATGGTGGCCAGCCTAAACGCAGAGCGCCTTTCCGCTCATCCCCCAAAGCAGTCCTAACAGGTTTAACAGCGATCATCACCCTTTCATCTGGGAACCACCGAGGAAGGCCTCTAGGGGAGGGTCTTGTCTCTCCTTCCCCTACGTTCGGAATGAGAGAAACAGGACAGGTACCGGGTGGTAAACTTACAGACGCTTGAGAGTGAACCCTAGGGGGCCCAAAATATAGGATGACAGAAGGCGCCCCCTTTTTCCGATGAGCGGGGGGAGAAAAAAAAAAAAACCAGCACGTGGCTGTGCAGCACCCCCCACTCCATCCGGAAACCGCCTAGATAGAAGCTGCGGCCAAAATCTGGGGTCGGCCCCGAGGGGAGAACCCGGCGGAGGCTTCCCCCAGCACCGAGTTGAAGTGTCGAGTCCCCGGGCCAAGCAGCCACAGGTCCCGGACCCCGCATCCCAGACTCCCCCCTCGGATCGGTCCGCTGGCCCTCGCTGCAGCCTGCGGGCCGTGTTCCTGGGCCTCCGGCGGCTGCCCGAAGCCTACTCCTGGGGGGTCGGGGGTGAGACAGGCTACAAGGTCCATCTCCGCCCCCTCGGCGCGCACGGTTCTGCCGGTTTCGGCACGGCCGGCACTGTGGGCTCCGTTCTCCTCGGACGGCGGGCGAGGTAACCCCCAGCAGCTCGGCCGGCTGTGGATGGAGGTGGATGAAGGACAGCTAGCCAGGCTATCAGCTACTCACCGCCATGACGGGAAACAGGAAGAGAAGGCGAGCTTTCCGACCCAGGGCCTTATGGGCCAGGAGGCGGGCTCTTTTCCCAGGCCAGAGAGATGAAGGAGAGGAAGAGAGGCGCGCCTGAAGCCGCGTATAGTCGGCTGCCCCCTCGTGGGCGTAAATGGCAACTGCAGGAGGCTCTGACGGTCCTCGGGGCCGACCTGGGCCATTTGCAAACCCGGTTTTTTTTAAAGCTGAACCCTTTGATTTGCGTTTCTCTGATAATGAGTGATGTTGAGCATCTTTTAATGTGTTTGTTTAGAAAAATGGTAACGATGACCCTATCTGCGAGACAGCAAAAGAGACACAGATGTAAAGAACAGACTTTCTTACTCTGTGGGAGAAGGCAAGGGTGGGATGGTTTGAGAGAATAGCATTGAACCATGTATATTACCATATGTGAAATAGATCGCTAGTCTAAGTTCGATGCATGAGACAGGGCGCTCAGGGCCGGTGCAGTGGGACGACCCTGAGGGATGGGATGAGGGGGGAGGTGGGTGGGGGATTCAGGATGGGGGACACATGTACACCCATGGCTGACTCATGTCAATGTATGGCAAAAACCACCACAATATAGTAAAGTAATTCGCTCCCAATTAAAATAAAGAAATTAATTTTTAAAAAGTTCCCCAAAATTTCGTTTCAATCACAGGAATGGTATTAAACTTTAAGTTGAAAAAAATAGAGCTGAATGCTGTTTCCCCACTTACAGCCTCAGGAACAAGTGGTTCTTGCATCTTAAGAGACGCCAGGACTACGCGAAGTCAAGTAGGCAAATTATGAAGTGAGAGTTTTATTCTATAACAGTGTAAACAAATGGAATTTAAATAGTTAGGGAAATTCCCTGGTGGTCCACTGGTTAGGACTGTGTGCTCTCACTGCTGAATGCCTGAGTTCAAGTCTTTGTCGGGGAATGAAGATCCCACCAGCAGCGCAGCGTGTCTATAAACAGATAAATAAATAGTGATTGAACAGCGTTGGCCTAAGAGTCTCGAGCTGTGAAGACAGATGTGGTCCTGTCTTGGCTACCTCAATAGCAATGAGATCTTGGGGGCAGGTTACTAATTATTAATAGATCGCCTTCAGCCTCAGTTTCCCTCAGATTTGTTTTTTTTAATTAAAAAAAATTTTATTTATTTTTACAGCTGCACTGGATCTTCGTTGCTGTGCATGGGCTTTCTCTAGTTGTGGCAAGCAGAGGCTACTCTCTAGTTGTGGTGTGTGGGCTTCTCACTGCAGTGGCTTCTTTTGTGGCAGAGCATGGGGGTCTCAGCAGTCCAGCTTAATACTTGTGCTCCCCAGCTCTAGAGATCAGGCACCCGGGCCTGGTTATTCCACAGCATGTGGGATCTTCCTGGACCAGGGATCAAACCTGTGTCCCTTGCATTGCAAGACAGATTCCTAACCACTGGACCACCAGGGAGTCCTTATTTTTTAATCTTTAAAAATAATTTTATTTAATTATTTTTTGGCTGTACTGGATCTTTGGTGATGCTCAGGCTTTTTTCTTGTTGTGGCAAGCTGGGGCTGCTAGTCACGGTGTGCTGGCTTCTTATTGAGGTGGCTTTTCTTGTTGTGGAGCCCAGGCTCTAGGGCACCGAGGTTTCAATAGCTGTGGCCCACAGTAAGTGGGTACTCCTATTAATAGAATGGAGAAGGAAATGGCAACCCACTCCAGTATTCTTGCCTGGAAAATCCCATGGACTGAGGAGCCTGGCAGGCTACAGTCCATGGGGTCACAAAGTGTCAGACACGGCTGAGCGACTTCACTTTCTTCTTCTTTTCTTCCTATTAATATAAACCCACTATATTCAAGCAACTTCCTCCCCCCACCCCCCCCCAAGAAATGTTAGACATGGTACATAATTAAGAAAAGGCCATCCTGCAGGCACGTGGCTTACGGATTAGTCTCTGACAGACAAGGACCCCAATCTCAGAGAGCGACAGACCCCCTTTGGTTGGCACTGAATCTGCATCAGCAGGACCCAAGGAGGTGCCATGCCAGGACACAATCTGGATGGAAACTGGCCTTGAGTCAGAGAGTTTCTTTGACGGAGAGAAATAGAGAAAAGAGAATGTACAGGGCTTTGGTGGAAAAGGAGTCAGGGGCTTTCTTCTATAGCCATAATTCCATTTCTCCTCTCTGGAGGGGTGGTAGAAGCCTCTAGGTTCCCCCTGTATCATTCTTAGGGACAAAAGGATACTTCTGAGAAGCTGGGATGATGGAAGAAAGCCAAGAGAAAAGGCTTCTCTTCCAAGCCCCCAGCACTAGTCCAGAGCAGGGGCCTCTGGAAGATCCCTAGGATGGGCAGAGCCAAGGAAGGGACTGCTCTGGAACTCCAGAGATAAGACAGCTGAATGTAGCCTGTGATCTTGGATTTTCTCTTCCTATAAAGCACATTACTGGGACCACTGGCAAAATCTGTCGACTTCAGAAATGCCCGTTCAATAACGTTTATAGACACTACTTGAATCAGGAGGTCTGACCCCAGAGTCCAGTCCTGTTCTAGGAGCTAATGAATGAAGCCAGAGCCAGAAGCTGGTCCAGGCTTCCCCAGTTTATGCCTTTTCCTCCCCAAGACCCCAACTCTCTGGGTCTTGCCCCAGTCAGGTCCCGAGGAGGAAGGCAGAGGGGCAGAATTCGACCCAGTCCCCCTCTGCTTCCTCCTTGCGTGAGGCATCTAGGTCAGTAGAAATGGAAGCCAAAAGACTTGTGTTTTATCCCTGTGCCTGAAACTCATCCATAAAAACAAGACCGAGTTAGCAGGGGCAGCTTTAGCACAGTTCAGGCATGAGAAGGGCAAGTTCAAGTCTTCTCCTTGAGCCACTCTTCCCGGGTGCAGCCCTGCCTGGCCGCCCTGGGCTGGAGAGGTTGGGTAGCCATCACCTCTCACTTCTTTGCAGGTTTATGGTCACCGTGGTGACTCTGCCTTCTAGTAGCTGCTTTTTCTCCCTGGCTATGATGACTGTGACGGCCACAGTCTGCCTCATGTCCTGAGTGGCAGATCGACCTAGGATACAGGACGTGGAGAAGTGGTGGGGAACACTCCCAGCAGACAAGGGATGGGGACAATGGCACAGCGGAGGCATGTGAGCCAAATAAGTGATAGTTGGAGTCATACAAGGGCTTCCTAGGCGGCGCTAGTGGTATAGAACCCGCCTGCCTGTGCAGGAGACGTAAGAGACTCGGGTTCAATCCATGGGCCGGGAAGATCCCCTGGAGGAGGACATGGCAACCCACACCCGTATCTTGCCTGGAGAATCCCGGGGACAGAGGAGCCTGGAGGGCTGCAGTCCATGGGGTCACCAAGAGTCAGATACGACTGAAGCAACTTAGTACGCGTGCACAGAGTGGTACACACAAGCTCATTTAATTCTCCCGACAACTCACAGTAGAGCTCATTGTCTCCATTTCATACGTGGGAAAACAGGCAGAGAAATTCAAGTTTACTTGGCTGTAACGGTTGGAAACACAGAAGCCTCAGCACTCATAGTCTTAGTTACTCGAGTCTCCTACTTCCACGAGTAAAAGACACAGGGAAAGCTTGCTTTTGAGGCATCCACCACCCAACCTTTGAATGCCTCCCGCCTCCAGGCTCCTAGCGTATGCTCTGCGCTCATCACAACCTGGGGGATGGATTGCATTTACATTTCATGGTGAATCTGGCAGTTGCTTCTCTTGGGGGTTCTTGATTTCTCCCCCACCTTCAGGTGGTGGAGGGCAAGGCTTTGGCAGCTGGCTTCAAGTCTCATAGACTTTTTGGCAGGTGGAGAAACTAATGCAACACTGCAAGATTCAGGTGGCAGCCTCTGTGGCCCACTTCTAAAATTAGCCATTGGATTGTCCACCTGAAGCTGTCCCATTTTTTTCTTAATATATATTTATTTTATTGAAGTGCAGTTGATTTATAATGTTTCAGATGCACAGCAAGGTGATTCAGTTATACCTATACAGCTACATTATTTTTGAAATTATTTTCCATTCTAGATTATTACAAGACTATAGTTCCCTGTGCTATACAGTGAAACTTTGTTGCTTGTTGCATATTTATTTATTTTTTAAATTAGAAATCTAGCACTCTATTCGTACCAAATCAAACAATTGGAAACAAAATGTCATAAATTTTTTAGCTGGGCAAAAATTCACAAGTTTGCTAAAATATATATATTACACATATTATTTATACATGGAGCTTCTCCCGTGGCTCAGTGGTAAAGAATCCACCTGCAATGCAGGAGGGTGGTAGGAGACACTGGATCGATTCCTGGATCAGGAAGATCCCCTAGAGAAGAAAATGGCAACCAACTCCAGTATTCTTGCCTGGAAAATACCATGGACAGAAGAGCCTGGTGGGTTACTGTCCTTGGGGTTGCAAAAGAGTCAGACACCACTTAGCGATACAACAACAAAAGCTCTTCTGCTATGCTTGGTAAAGGCTGGAGAAAGAACATGAAAAAAAAAAGGAAGAAGAAGAGATGTAGAAACTGGAAAACAAACTAAATGAAATGGGAGTGCTGAATATGAAGTAGAAAAAGTGAAACAAACTAGATAAGAGGAAAAGATCATCATAAAGTCCAGTTGTTTTTAAACATGACTGCTCATTAGAAATGTATCTGGAGCTCTGGAGGGAAAAAAAAAGCAATAGCTGAGCATTTGCATTTTTCAAAAAAATTTCAAGATAATTCTGATATGCATCTGGATTTAAAAAAATGATTATGAGAAGGAAATGGCAACCCACTCCAGTATTCTTGCCTGAAAAATCCTATAGATGGAGGAGCTTGGCGGGCTACAGTCCATGGGGTCACAAGAGTCAGACATGACTTAGTGACTAAACCACCAAAATGATTTTGTTCATTAAATTTCTGAGCAGGGGGAATGCTCTAATGAAATGTGGAAGAATGTTTTTGTAAATGTAATACAGCTAAAATGCACATTTTTTCAATGGAAAAGATTAGAATTGGATTATGATATA